TTATATTTCTGATCCTACAAAAGTATCTTCATGACAAAGTGAAGCAATACTAATAAAATTCATGACAGTAATAATTACAAAAATCCACGAATATTTACAGAATGCTGGTTATTTTCTAATAGGGGAACATATCCTAATACACGATAGTGCATTAAAATGTTTACTATTCGACGTCTGGCACATCTAGTAATTTTACATTAGACTCAATCTGATATGTTTCATTAAGGTAATTGAATTATAAACAAACTTCATTAATCATGTGCTTAATAAACCAATTGAAATAATTAATTATAACTAATGCTAGTCCATAATTATATAAAAAATAAACACTGAAACTTATTAATTTTGTTAGTAATTAAATCGCAACTACTAATTTACGCTTTCTAATAATTAATACATAAAAAGAAATATTTGACAGTCTTTCAATTTTTACTTTCAGGTTTTGCTAAAAAATGAAAATAACTTACCGTGATTTGAGTATAGTATAATTGAAAAATAATTCTGGGTACTTCTGCCTCAGTGATGGAAACAATGTTGCATGAGCGGAATATGTATCTCGCTCTTGAAATATTGACTGAACCCATTCCCGCCACACAAACGCTTTTGTACAGCAAATACATAGATATTAGATTGCTTCTCAAATGCATAACGCGCTTTTTTCAGCTTTTTTAACTTTCGACATTGTACCCTAAAATAGGAAATATTGTCCATGCGCAAATCAACGCGACTTGATTGATTGGGGGTAGTAATTCTTAGGCTTTCAGACTTACAAGTGTAAACGGGTGGGATCCTTAGGAGTAACAACTTAACGTTATCGTACGTTTCTTTGGACCAAAGTTCCGCTAGTGTAAACGGGCCTTGAGTGTGCTTGAGTTACTTGATAGCTCCGGCAAAGCCAAAGAAAAGATTTAAAAAATGATGGAGGCCCAGTTTCACAATTTAATGTATCTGCATACATATGATGCACTGTTTTTTAAAATACATAAAATTTTATTTAAACACACTTGTTTTTGAGTAAGATGGGATATAAAACTATGAATTTAAATGGAATTTTACAGAAATTTTCATTAATTTTTTAAATATAGGCAATATTTAGTACAATTTTTAGTGAAAATTTTTCATTTACGCCACATCTCCTATAATAGATTCTAATGAATATACTTCAATAATTTTTACACAGTATGTAAATAACATACTTACCTGTTTCTGTAGCAAAAGATTTGCTGTACTTGTAAATTTTTTTTAAATATTCCAAACTTTGTACAAAAGCTCAAAATTAAAACAAAAAAATCCTCTTTCCTTCAAAATACTGTCAATAAAATCAATCAATAAATAAAAAGAGGTCAAATTTTGCTACAGAACACAGCTAAAGATGAATAACACATTTTGGCAAAATTTCATTTCAATATTCTAAATACATTTTGAGAAATTAACGTAATCGCAATCCAAAAGTAACGAAAAACACAGTTTCTCAGAAAACGCACTTAAAGATTTTAATATTGCTAAAAAAATTCTGTAACCACTTAAACCTTTAACACTCGCATATTTGTATGTTAGGCCCTCTTTTGCTTCATTCTTAACTAATTTTGACTTTCTTTTAGCTTTTTTCTGGGTGACTGTTGCTTGTAGAGATTCGTATTTCGATTTCTGAATTCGCTGTTTGTCTATTTCCATGCAGATTTCAAACATAATGGGATTAATTTCTATTTCTACATACCTGAAAACAGGTAAAAGTCCTATATACTGAATTAATAAATAATGCAGCCATCCATATGTGCACCTAAAAGCAATGTTTTTAGTTGAACAAAAGTTTCCTTAGATAAAATAGTCCAGAAAAGGTTATTATTATCATTATTGTTTTGAGTCTTCCCATGTAGGCATTTTATCAGCAAATTCTTGTCACACAGTGAAAGATATGGTGCTATTACACCTTTTATATTGTTTAATAATTAGAAAATAGCTGTTTAAACTTATTGTTTACATTTTTACTACCCTTTAAATGGCAACTTTCGGCATCCGAAAATTCACTTCCGGTTTATTATTTATACTATAACTTTGCTTCTAGTTCTCGTAAAAAAAAAATAAATAAAAAAAAATAAAAATAAAGTATTTTTGGAAATCTAAATGTGTGCCCTATAAAATAAATACATGAAAAAAAAATCGAAAATTTTCACTAAAACGACGGTTTTGGGGTAGGCACATACTTTAAAATCTAGTTAGGAAGCTATCTTTAAGTTAAGATAGGAAAGTAAATAAACAATGGGAGGGAGGGAGTAAGTCCAAAGAGGAAATACAAGGCAATGTACTTGCTTCTACCTTGAGACACAGTAGCAAAAAAGGAACACAACATCAGACAAAGGGATAAAGATATCTGTACATTTTTCAGAACTCAGAAGTAGGCAAAAGCAGATTTCCATATCTATCAGAAAAAAAGACACACAGATAGACAAAATAGACAGATGTCTTGTTTTGCACCCGCTAAGTCTTTCTGCTACGATGGGCGAAAAATCAAGCTTAGGTGCGAAGGAAAGGTATATAGAAAGGGGCCAATTTCGTATTTCAGAGGAGAGTAAAAAGGAACTTCGTACATTTTGTACGAGTTCGAAAGGCCAGGAAGAAAAGATGGGACAAAATAAAATTTAAAAATAAATTGCCCAAAAATTAAGAGGGGAAAAAAAGGGCCTATAGAAAGAAAAGGAAAAGTAGAAAATGTTCTAAAATACGATTGTGTCCATAAGTGTAGTAAAAAGGAAAAGAAGTTGTCTTCATTTACAGTAAATAGTGACTCACAGGCGTGTGTGTGTGTGTGTAGTGAGTGTGTTTGGTTATGCTGAATAGATGTGATACTGGAAAAAAAATGATAGTGTTAAAATGCTTCGTATCAAGGTATTTAGCATGGAAAACAAAGTATGTATGCTTGCATCCTGAGACATAACAGCAAAAGACCCATAACATCAGACAAAAGTATATATTAATTTAACTAAACTAACTTATGTTATTTTCGTTCAAAACATTTTCATATATTTTTCAAAAAACAGCAGCAGACAAAGAACATAGAACCGATACACAATACAAGACCACAACCCATATATATATTATATATTATATATATATACATATACACAATACAAGACCACAACCATATATATGTCTGTGTAATTACAGAGTATATATTAAAACATAAATCAAAACAGTATTTATTAATTTAACTATCATAATTTGATTACAAGTTTAATTTTTTACTATCATAATTTATTACTAGTTAATTAATGCTAGTTTAACTCATTGAGGCTCACTGTTATTTATATAAACTCATAGTTCTAAGAATTTATTTAAGGCAATGAAGAATAATCCATCCCTTACATTTGGACATTTAACAGATAGCAAGGAACAGTATGAGGAAAAAAAAAAAACGGTGAGGTGTGATATTATTTAAAGGCAAAAATATATGTAAACGACCTAAAAAAAAGGGGGAAAAAAGATCTGAGAGAGAAGTAACGCGATGCCCCAAATCCCCAATTTTTCCTCTCACGAAATTCCTCAAAACAAGATAAGGGGGCTTTGTAGGTGGTGACAGACGTGAACTGATAAAGTTAGCGTCTGTTTGGAATTGATTCACAAAGGAAGCCACAAGCAATGAGCAATTTCAATTTAATGCTAAAATCATGAAAAATTAAAATTTATTGAATTAAAGGCACTTATTTATAGAAATTTGATTTAGTTTAGATGAAAGAAAGGACTTATCTTAAAATTCCGGCTTTTCGTAGTATTCCTCACATTGTCCGCTGTTTTATTCTCGTCAACTCGGAGCGGAAATTCTTTGAAAAGGAATAGGTTTTGTAGAAAAAACACCATTTCAAAGTAATTTAATTGATAATTACTAAGGGAAAAGGAATTTTTTTTTCACTTTTTAACGGAGTGTTGCGAACGTGCAGCCGCTTGCCTCAGTAATCCCGATAATTCCCAAAAAAAAAAAAAAAAAAAAAAAAGAAAAGAAAAGAGAGAGAGAGAGCTATCTATAAGCAGCTGCTTTCATTGTAAATATCAAGTAGTTAGAAAGCACAGTGAAGCCTCAGATAAAAGTACTAAATAATTGGAGTAAATCGCTATCATTACGAAGTAATCAATAATCACCTTGAAAAATACGCGAAGTGATTGATAGAAACCATTTGAAAAACTTTCACTAAAGACTGCAACATTCATACAGCCAAAAAATGTAATAAAAGAAAGACACCTGGCAATAAATCATGGATGTGCAAGTTAAGCTTTAGAAATGGTATTGATTTTTATGGAGCAAACAATCATCCTTGCGAGAGGGATTAAATTTATAAATCTAAGTATCTAATTATTGAAATTTCTTTAACAAAAATAAATTAATAAATAAAAGGGAAGTCGGTTCCCCGTTCATACGCATTCTTAAATTCAAGGAGCAGGAAAAAATTATCCTTTCCCTCAATTGCAACTAAAACTAAAGGTCATCAGACTAGACTGTAGGAAAACAAAATGTCATCCGGAATAAAAGAACGTATAAAAAGCTCAGAGAAAAAGTTTTATGATACTCTTTATTTAACATTAGGAAAATTGCTCAGCTTGAGTGTGAAAAACAAAGTTGAGAATTTCAGAAGCAATTAATGCAAGTAAAAAGATAAACGTTGAAATTCTTACATTAATCAGAGTAAGTCGGTCTCTCTTTCAAGCTGCAGAAAACCTATCAAGAATGACTCCTAGATAATCTAGGATATCTAGGAGTCATTCTTGATAGAAAATTGACTTTTCAGAAACATCTGAGGTGTGCATGTAATTAGAGAGAAAACTAAGCATTACTTATAAATAATTTCAGAGACCTAAAAATGTAAAATAAATTTAAAAAGGAGCCATATTTTACTGCTAAATTCAAAATTTCATGATCATAAAGGTTCAGAAAAATTGTAGATATAGCATTAGAACTGCTAAATTGGCAACAGAGGTTGTATTTACGAAAATCTAACTTAAATTCTATTTGGCAACATTGAAAGGTTTGTCTCCATCCATGTGTTTGTAAATGTGACCGGCTACACGTGGTTTTTTTTAATATTATAATTTATAACAATGGAAGCTTGCGAGGTATTAGGATTACATCAGGGTATGTAGATATTGACTTGCCATCAACTTTTCAATGAATTAACTTACATAGCTGAATTTATGTAAATGTGCATTCCTATGTACGTTACGTATTGCTGATTGTGTGCATTAAAAGATACTTCGTAATATATGTGTGTACGTACACAAATTGATGCAAATTTCTTTAAAAATATTTTCAAGAATTCGCTATAAATGTTTTGTTGCATATATATGTTTTGATTTCATTAAAAGTATTCAGTTTTGTCTTACCGAATAATTTTCAAAAATATTTAGCAGTAGCTGAAAATTAGTGAGGAGATATTTGTCATTATATTTTGTTATAATTGATTGTTATTTTAGTTCCAGAAAGAAGTATCGGTGAAAACAGTTTAATTTTCTGTAACGTTTTTAAAGTATGTACGTACACAGATATGCACAGCAATAGATGATTTATAAAACTACTCTGTAACAAAACTTGTGGAGCACTCCCTTCTAATATTTTCAGCAATAATAGATAACACCGACACGAATCGTATAAAATATTCAGTGAAATAACCTAATATTTGAATATTAATACATTTGGAGGTGTTTAAATGGAAAATGTATTGCACTACTTTGTGTGTCTTATTCCAGTTTGTTGTGTAAAATATAAGCTTGTCCATTTTAAACCACAATCTTGTTTCTCCTGGGAGAAATGGGAAGAATATAATTATACTTATCGATTTCATGACAAACAATAATTATATTTTAATTATGGAGATAAGGCAAATTAATGCATTTAAATTATTTATAAATTTGCTGGGTTGATCTTTACAATATGGTAACTGGTAGTTTGGCGACATTTTGGAGGCGATAAAGGTTACTACCTGGGACTTTGGTAATAATGTGAGCAGTACTCAGTTCCGATTACGCATTATTTTGTGTGGGGGAAATGAGAGATCATGGGATATGTCATGTGATATTAATGGACGAATTACGGTTCTTTAATCGGAAAAGGGGGGAATTTGGACAAGTATCTGTGGATGTATATTATTTTGTATTAAACTTCATTGTGTGTTGTGTGAAGTAGGGTTGAATAATTTTGGGATTGTATGGCGCTGTCTAAAGTGAATTGTAGATGTGATAAAGAGAATTTTTCTTTTATCAAATTCTATCAAATTCGGAAAAAAAATTGTTCAGTAATTTTATTGAATCCATAATAAAAGTGTATCCACCATGTAAGGAAGATTCGGAAGAAGATTAGGTTAGTTAGACTTTGTTAAATGTGAGTAGTATTCAGTTCTGATTACGCATTTTTTGTGAGTGAGGGAAATGAGAGATCATGGGATATGTCATGTGATATTAATGGACGAATTACTGTTCTTTAATCGGGAAAAAATCTGGGCAATTTTTTATTTGGCTTTATTCTGTGTTGTGTGAAATAGTGTTTGTGAATTTTTGGATCCCATGGCCGTAACTAAAGTGAATTCGAAATGGGTATTTAGTGGTATTGAAAAGGATAGTAAAAATGTTTTTTAAGGTTGTGCGAGAGAGAAATAAAGATGTTTTATTATGTTATTTATTTTACCTGGTATCTTGCTTTGAAAGATAAGTATGATTTTAAAGATTCTGAAACAGAAGGAAGAAAAGTGTATCCGCCACGTAATCAAGATTCTGAAGAAGATTAGGTAAGTTAGTATTTTTAATTATTTGAGGATATTATTTTTATGCATTGTTGTAAATGTAAGGTGGAAAGGAATTTGGTATTATTGGGAAAATTGTTATTAGCAATGATTTAGTTTAAAGTAATTAGGATTGTAAGGTAATTTTTATTAATTTAATGTATGTGCTCATTTATATTTTAAGTAGTGTTTTTGAATTTAATTATATTTTAATGAAATGATAGTTATTTTGTGAATTTTATGTTTGTAGGAATTTGGTATACGTTTAAGTTGAAATAAACGTGCATGGAAATAATTTAAATATTTGATATTAAGTATTTGTAATGCTTGCGGTATGAATTCGTTGGTGAGGTGTATAATGTAATAGATGATTTAGAGGTAAAAGTTTTTGGGTATTCTATTTATTTTATATGTGGAAATGTTGATATTTGTAAAGGGTAAATACTTTTTCGCGATCATGTAATTTCATATATGTTCTTTTTACCAGGTTTAAAGATTGAGAAAATTGTCATGTATTTTCGTGAAATTTTTTTAATTTATGAGAAAAAAGCAGTGTACATGGATATAGTGAAGAGTGTGCGCAATGCCATTTTTGTGCAATTCTGGGATGTTTTTTTAAGTAAAAATAAGTCGACGTGTACATGGTTCAGTGATATTTTAATGAAATGATAGTTATTTTGTGAATTTTATGCTTGTAGGAATTTGGTATACGTTTAAGTTGAAATAAACGTGCATGGAAGTAATTTAAATATTTGATACTAAGTATTTGTAATGCTTGCGGTATGAATTCGTTGGTGACGTGTATAATGTAATAGATGATTTAGAGGTAAAAGTTTTTGGATATTTTATTTATTTTATATGTGGAAATGTTCATATTTGTAAAGGGTAAATACTTTTTCGCGATCAGGTAATTTCATATATGTTCTTTTTTTTTACCGGGTTTAAAGATTGAGAAAATTGTCATGTATTTTTTGGTGAAATTTTTGTAATTTATGAGAAAAAAGCAGTGAACATGGATATAGTGAAGAGTGTGCGCAATGCCATTTTTGTGCAATTCTGGGATGTTTTTTTAAGTAAAAATAAGTCGCCGTGTACATGGTTTATGTGTATGTATTATTTTGAAAAATGCGTAAGGAGGATGGTATTGTGCAGTTTTTCCTAATTTTGCAGTGAATATTTGTCATGATTAAGCAGTTTTGTTAGATAAAATTTCTAGCATAAGTGTAATTCGGCTAGTAGATTGTTGGAAGAAGTGTTCAGGAGATAAAAAGAAAAGAAACATGTATTTACTTCGTGAAGACAAAATGGCGGTGGGGAAAAAAAAATAGAGGCTTGCTGTAGGAGAGTTGGTCGCCAAATTTTCGCCAAAAAATCGCCAAGTTACCATAATGTAAAGATCAACCATTTGCTGCTCAAGAGAATACTGTAATTATTGGAAATTAATTGCTAGTCCAAAGTGAAGAGTAGTTAGACTGCTGCACGGAGATTCTCTGTGTGTGTGACGTGTATTTTTTTCCTCGCTACTGTATTAAACCTAGTAGAATTTAAATGCTGCAAAGATTTGAAATAGTCACGGTAGCAGTTTCATTGTAAAAAAAACCTGTCAAGCACTAGCATCTTCATTATACTATTTGAATATTTGTTCTATACAGGTACTGGTAATGAAATTATGTGCCATTGGTATTATATTAAGAACACAGTATTCTGGATACGTTTATAAAAAATTCACATAAAAATTTGGCAATTAGTAAACATTCACGTCAGTTAATTTCCAATCCGGATATTAAGTCCTAAAAAGTACTCAAAGGCACTACCTTTAAGTCCAACATCAGACCTGTCATTAAAAATGGAGTTAAGCACTTGGTTACTGCATTTTGAGAACACATAGAAAAAGTTGAAAATTGTTTAAAATAATGCTATTGAATAATCTTGGGCAATACAGACTGATCTGTAACCATTGGTTGACTGTAGGCAAAGATCTGATTTGAAATTATTTGAAAAACTTCTGAGACATGTCAGTTTTTCACAAAAATATGCACATGCTGAATTTAGTTAAAAATACTGAAAACCTTAATGGGTTTGGTAAAAGAATTAGCAGTCAAATTGGATATGTCTGTCCTTAACAGAAATTCTGGGTGATCTTTGGAATATGGTAACATGTGTTTTGACAACAATTTGTCTGGCAGCTTTGGCAACAATTTGTTTGGCAATAAATGCTGGGAGGTGAGACTCAGCATTAATTTGAAAAATGCATAGCTCCAGTCGAGTTTATTTTGTCATGGACAAATCAGAAATACATCTACAAACAAATCAGACATCCTGGGACACTTATCCTAGTTCTGTATTCCAAAAGCGAGGAAATTTGCAAGAGTATTTACAGCAGTTTACTTTCATTTTGTACTACGTATAAAGTAGTACTGTTGTGTGACTTGTGCTCTACGTTTGTATTCTATCTTGTGGCATTCTCAATAATAAATTCTAAGTTATGAAAAAACTTACCTGATAATCCCAGACAGCTGCTTGAATAGTGCATGAGAGTGGGCTTGATTGCAAATAAGTATGAATATAGAACATGTAAGACTGAAATGAGATTATGCGTAAGGAAGGATACTATGTTTAAGTTTGAATGGCAATGTAAGATTTCTCATGAACTAGACATTTTGTTAAATAGAGTGCGAGTGTACTTAGTATGTTGATTTCGTATTATTGTGTTAATTAGCTGCCAGTTGACTACTAGTTTTCAGATTTAGATAATAGAATTAGCACAGTGGCTGATTGAAATTTTTTTTTGCAGAGAAGTGTGCCCATGGAATTTTGTGAGAATGATATGCGCATGTTTGGTGATATGGATGTAGTTGTTGAAATTGATTAAAATAAGTTTGACAAGCGTATTTATAAGGGATGCAGAGGAGTTAAAGGAAAATGGATGTTTGATGGTATTAAATGAGAAAGCAGTAAGTGTTTTTTGAGGCTGTGCTAGATAGAAGTAAAGACTGCTTATTAAGTTTTATTAAGCAGTATATTCTACCAAGCACTACAAAAATATCCGATTGCTGGAAATTCTGCACCTGTTTGTAGGATGAAGGTTTTCAACCTCTTGCTGTTAACCATGACTATTATTTCACAGATCCTGAGACAGGTGTGCATAAGAATACGATTGAAGGCATATCGGATGACATTAATAGTGTCATCCCAAGATATTATGATAAGAAAACTTTGGATTTTATTTAGCTGAGCATGCTTGCTGGAAAAACAGAGGGAAAATAATCATTAAAATATTTCATTGAATCAATTTTAAAAGTGTACTCACCATACACTAAGGACTCTAAAGAAGATTAGGTAAGTTCAGTATTTTTTATTA